CTTCCTGCCAATGCTTTTTCATTCTACTCAACTTCATTTCCATCACCTCCTTTCTTACCTACATGCCTTATTTCTCCTAACTACAAACTGTTTCCATCACCCAGTTTTGCTTACCACACTGTCACTAAAATTTTCACCACCTCTTGTCCTGATCATATAGTTACCAAAACAATTTTAATTCCTCTTTTCCTAACCACAGACATAACAATGCAGTTACTAACACTTCTTTCATCACCTCTATTCATAATGATGTAACTCGCCCCCCCAATTTTTATCACATCTTTCCCCTAAAACACGTGACTGTCACAGCACCCCACTCCTCTGATTCCATAACCGTGTACTTCACTTCCCACTCATTGCCCACTGCCACATCTATGTATGGCCCCCCAAAACTTTTAACATGAAAATGGTTACTGCAATGTTTGCTAAAATGTTTTAAAGCCTTCAACATTCAATGAAGCTTATCCTCAGGGCTGAAATTATACATCAAATGTTGCTATGTCACATTCAAACAGCAGCCAGAAAAACACATTAAACCAGTAATACATCCATAACAAAATTAATTTGTGAAATAATAAACTCAACACAAAACTGCTCATGAACCAAAACGCATCTAACCTAAGAGCTTAGTCAAACACATTCATACACATTTACATAAAATAACCTATAAACTGTAAATAGCATTAAGTTAACATTTAAAGAAAAATCAGTCTGTTTCTTCAAATCATTGTTTCTAATTAATTAATTTCTACCAAATTCCCAAAAACTAATACAGACAAGTTGCCTTTGAGCAACTATCCCAGAATGGGTCAATGGCCCATTCCTTGTTGTGGAAATGAATGAATCACAAAATACTCATATACTTCAACTCACCTATTTATACAATATGCCCATAAACACCTGCTAGTCTTGGATCTTCACCTCAGTACACACAACATGACAGAAACTGTATCAACTGAAAACCATAGGTGAGGTCATGTCCAGTTCAATCATGGTCTTCAATTGGGGAAATTCATGCACTGAAAGACACACTGATTTACCCAAGTCAGTTCAATCTTTCAAACAACCTTCCCTTCTTCATTCCATTGCCAATTTTCATTATTGCATGACACCCAGGCTGAAATCTGCCATGTTCTTAAGAATGTACCAAAAATGCATGCCTTTCTCTAAAAATGGGCATATACATCCCTTACCAAATATACCCACACTTTTCCCACCACAAAACTTCAATTTTTCTCACATGTTACTCTCCCATAATTAGCCAAACACGTATAACTATATATCATTACAATACTATTTCCAAATTCTAACTAATAAAAACAATGAATGACTAGGAAGAAACATTAACTCCCAAGTTACTTTCTCTAAAGATGCGACCACTGAAGATAAAGAAATGTGATACAAATGTAGATCAGCCACTGGGCAGGGAATACACAACACATCAGGATACATATCACACAGAACACCATTTCTAAATTTCTGTATATATTATTTCATGATTCAGAAGATACTAAAACTTTATAATCACTTGAGTAACTTATTATAATCATACCGTCTGAGGTTAAGTTCAAAATTCTTAAAAATCAACAACAAAACGTTCCCAGAATAATCAGATTAAACAATGGGAAGGTGATTTCATGGATCAATGCCAGTTCATATGGAACATGCAAATAATAAATCTGTCAAAAATAAATATGGCCAGTAGCATTACTAAGGAGGCAGAAATACATAGAATGAATAATAAAATTAGAAATATTAAATTCCTACCAGGTTACAGTTTTCACTGTGGCATTTTGAATCAACCTAATTGTTCCAAATAACTTCAAAGACATTCATTAAAACCTTATTTACATTTACACCTACACACAAAAAGAATGAAGCGCACTGCAATCTAATTCACGTAGTTTCCACTATTACTATCATTGAGAAAAATGAACTAAGCTTTACGCATACATTCAAATGATTCTGCCCAATTGTTTCATTTAATCTCAAACTGACTACTGAAAGGACAGTAGAGTTTCAAATAAAAGACCTTTCTTTACTTCAAATTGATGTATTACAAATTATACAACATGTGTATGCTGAGAAATCTCTTTAACATTTTGACTAAAAATATTAACAAAACCAAGTTCTTATTATGCAAGATATAAGGACCACACACCAATGTTCCCCTGGGTTGCGACACCATGCAGATTCATAGATACCACATTTTCATAAAACATAATGTCTCTTTCTTCAGGGCTGAACTAAACAAACAACTTTCAATTGAAACATTACAAATAATATAGTGATAATTTAATATTTAGGTAACAAAAGCAAAGTACAATTCTTATTCCTCAAGGCATCTTCACAAAGTGTCATATGATCAAATCCTGATAAAGTCACAATTTTTTGCTTGCAATTTTGTCATAGATATTATATTATTATTATTCCATCCATTTACCACTTTATAGGGTATCTACTTCTATGTACCTGAGACAAACCTTGCCCCAGAGGTACATAGTGCAGCAGCTACTTCTAAAATACATATTGTTTTTAATGTGTTACATTATTATTATTGTTGTTGTTGATGATGATGTTATCTTTAACAGACATAAAGTCTGCTGAAGACTGTATATCTCTTCAAGCTGATATGCATTCAGTACACCAGTGGTGGAGGGAACAGGAGACTTCAAAATTGGAGGAAGAGTGATAACAACTGTAAAATATGCAGACTTAGTAGTATTGGCGAAGGAAGAGGAGGAATTACATAACATGATGGACAAGTTAGTGGAAACAGACAGAGAGTATGGAATGGAAATCAACATTGAAAAATCAAAGGTAATGAGGATAGCACCGAGAGCAGAACCATTGAACGTTGTAGTTGGAAACCAACAGCTGGAGAATGTGGAGCACTTCAAGTACTTGGGAAGCATAATCACGAC